TTTTTTTTTTTTTTTTTTTTTTTTTTTTTTGAAAAAAAAATTTATTGAATACTTGAATCTAAATTTTAGCTAACAAACTTTTAATTTATACTATCATCGAAATATTAATATTTTTTTACTTAATATAATAGAAGAATCAAAATCAACATTGAAAAATTCGAATAATTTGAATACTAGTATATTAATTCATTAAAAATTTATTTATAAAAAAAAGAAAAGGTTGAAAGCTATGCTATATATTTAATAATATGATGAAATTTACCAGATAACAAATTATAAGCTAAGAAATTTTATAACGTATTTGCCCGAAAATAAGCAACAAGTTTCGCACATAATGCCGGCCAAGTTTTGATAATGTGGGCCAAAATTTGTTATAATGCGGGCCATGTTGCTTATTTTCGGTGATTGCTTATTTTTGGGCAAATACAGTATATGAAATCTTATTATTCTAATCTTAGTGTTGAAGTAATTTTTCGGTATCTAAATGATTTTGAAAAAATTCTTAATTCCGATCAAATATTGTGATTATTGTGATTTTCATAAAAAAAAAATGTTTCGTTACTTGTTATGTAAATTGTTTTGCATACCATCAATAACTGGGTGTTATTGTGAAAAATTTGCTATTTATTATAAATAAAAATAAATTTTTCAATATGGAACGTGTGCATAATATTTACGTCGCTTCTTGTCATACTTTCATGAGGTTAAAGATTATTCTTTCAACTTGTTTTAATAAATTCATCTATAACGAATAGAATAATCTGTCATGATTTTACAATGTTTATGACATAAATTTACATTAAGATACTTAAATAAATAAATATACGGTAGTATTTAATAGTTTGAATAAATTTATTAAAATTATTTAAATTACAAACTAAGAATTTTGTAAAACATTTACTACTCTAGTCTTAGTGTTTAAATAATCCAAGATAAAATAAATAAATAAATGATAATAATTTAAAATATAAAGAAACACATTGTTAAATAATTCAAAATCCATCTAAGTTAAAAAATAACAAATTATAATTAATTATTTGCTTTAAAAAGAAATATAATTTATTTAAGAACTTACCATCAGGAATTTTCAGTTCATCTTGTTCTTTTGAATGAAGATTTGGATTATTATATACTTCGTCATCATCTATAAGAAAATAAACATAATTAAAATAGTATAAAAATTGTTTGTTATTACGTAAAAATTTTCACCTACTATCAACATGTTGTTGAGTTATTTCCTTTTCATCATCTAAATTTTAAATAAAGTCGCGTTTAATAAATAAATTTGATAAGATGATGATTTTATTTGTTAGTAATTTAACTTACCATTTGAATTTATTTGTAACTTTATAAATTCTTCGGGTAATTTTTCACTATCACCTAAAATTAAGAACATAGAAATAGATTTTAATATTTAATCTATTATTATTTCAAACTATGCTTATTTAATCCATTAAAATCATTAACTACTTACTATTGTTAGGAATGTTAAAATCATACAATTTACTATGAAACCCTATTAGCAGTAAAATAAAGTATTTTAAAAGTTAAATTATTTTAGTAACCAAAAAACGGTAGAAATTATTGTTTATACGGTTATACCTTCTTGTTCTTCTATTATAATATAAATTCAAAAAAAAATAATATTAATAATGTATTTTAAAATAAATATATTCATTAATAAAATATTATACACTTATACCTTCTGTTGCATTTCTTGGTTCGGGTAAATTTCCAAAGTTATGAATTTTACTTGTAAATAATCTGCTACTAGTACAATTTTCTTCTACTTCATTCATTCCTAAATTATTCATTTCTGATTTGAATAATTCATCTGACATATTTTGATAATCTAAATTGATTTTTCTCATTTTGTACTCAAGTGCATTAATGTCAGGTCTTTTTAATGGATCAGCATCCCAACATTGTTTCATTAAATTTTTATATTCTAATGGAGTTCCTGGCACAATTTTTGGTCTTATACCGTTAATAATATTCATTACAATATCATTTTCATGTTCATAATTTATAAATGGTGTTTGTCCAGATGAAATTTCCCACATAAGAATTGCAATACTATAAATATCAGATGCAAAAGTATATTTTCTTCCAACAATAACTTCGGGTGCTATGTAAGGAAGATTTCCATATATACTTGTTGAAGATTTATCAGCAGGTCCACAAAATCCAAGATCACTGATACACCAATAATTATTTAATTGTGAATATAATATATTTCCGGAATTTAAATCTCTATGAATTGCTTTCTCTTTATGAATATAATAAAGTGCACGAATTATTTCATAAGTAATATTAATTCTCTTTTTCCATATAAGTTGATTATGATTTTGTTGTAAATATTTTCTTAAATCTATATTCATTTTCATCATTATGAGAAAATAATTTCCATTTGATGGATTTTGTGTTAAACCATAACACCGAACAACATCTGCCCATTTATTACTTATGGTTAAATGTGATTTAGCCTAAAAGATAATAATTTGTAAAAAATACTAGTGCTAATACAAAAAATTACAACAATTTTATGAAATATAGAATACAAACCTCTTCAAACCAATTTTGATTTGCACTTTCAACATTTTCTAATTTTTTTAATATTACTTCATGATTTCCAAATCTTTTTAATTGTTTTTTTTCAGAATCCCATTCTTCATACACTCCATTAATCCAATCTGCTGTATAAATTTCTGAGAATCCACCTTTTGTTAAATATTTAATATTTTCTAAATTACTATATGGTATCCATTCAACTATTACATTTGGTCTAGTTGTTTCCAATTGACATTTCTGTATTAAATCATCAATATCATCATTTTTAGATGTCCAATTTAAAAAATTTTCTTTTAAATAATTTCGGACACAATATTCACAATATAATGTGGCTAAACATTCTTGGTTACAATTTTCACAAATTCTTGTTGTTCCTGAATTAAAAAGTACTTTCTCTCGATCATAATTTTTAGTTAACCATCTTATTGCATAAGTTTTTTCATCATTTGTAAGAATTTTATCAGCAAGGGTTGTTTGTTTTTGAAATTCAAATTGTTTGTGTATATCATCGTAAATATTGGTATCTGTTAATGTTGTTGCTCTATTAATTGTTGCAGCAATTAACCCCTTTCGAAGAGTGGACATAATGAGAAAGAAAGAAATAATTATTTTAAGTTCGTTACTCCGAGATAAATTAGTAAAATGCAAATTGTTGATCAAAAACTTTATGTTGTGCCCACATAAATTTTGTGATCTTGAGGCGTAGTATTTTACGCCTCATAACCAAAAAAAGAAAAAATATTATCGTACTTTCTTATTTTATTTTTATTTTTTTATTTTATTTTTTTTTTTAAGCGAATACAATTTAATAAAATGGTCAATAAAAAATAAATGAAAGAAATTATTACATCATAAATTACGTATGACTGATACTTAATAAATTTAGTGTAATAACAGATAAATAAGGAATAGATCAGGCGCAGGGATTTTCATATTATGGGCACGATTTTCATATTACACAATTCAAATTATTTATTTATATTGAGACTATTCTAAACGTCAGACAAATTTTCAAATAAAGTTATCTTACTAATAACCTTTTGTTATATTGCTGATTCTGTCAAAAATGTTTTTTTTCGCACTTGCGATATGTCGCATCTCCCTTTTTTGGTAATTTTTATATATTAATTATGTCGATCATTTTTATCACATGACTTCGTTAAGATTTCCCATTTTTTAAAAAATCCTTGCGTGAGACCTTAACCTTATACTATACGTATTTTTGACCGTTCTACAAGTTTTCTTAATATATCAAAAAAGGATTTAGAATGTCATTTTTGACTTTTATATGTAACATATTATAGGGGTGCGACATAACGCAGGTGCGATAAAAAACAAAACCCTATTTTAAATATAAATTAATAAACATTTATCATCAAAAGGAATTTGAAAGCCTGAAACGCTAAAAAAAATATAAAATAAATATTAAATAGATAATTATAAATAAAATTCATCAATTTATATATAGTACCTTTAAGTTCTTCAGTTAAAATAAAGGTATAATTAATGATATATATATATTGTAAATAAATGTTATAATTAACTAAATAATATACAAATAATACCTTCTGTTACATTTCTTGGTTCAGGAAAATTGTCAGAATTATGAATTTTACTTTTGCCGATAGTGAAATTTGATTCTAGTAAATTATTTGTCCTATTTATTTTTACTTCTCCATTTTGTTATTATAGATTAATTTCTTCCGTTATGTTTCTTGAGTGTATAAATACCAAGCTTTTCGATGGATCAGCATCCCAGAAATGTTATATTTTAAGGGAGTTTCTGGTATTGGTATTATTATTGGCCTTATACCATTAATTATATTCATTGCAAAGTAAATGATCATGTTCATGATTAATAAATGGTGGTTGGCCAAAGGAAATTTTCCATATAATCATTTCTATACTATAAATTTCAGATAGCTATATAATGAAGATTTCCATATCACTTTTTGATAGTTTTTATTTATAGGATCACAAAATCCAAGAGAAATTCGGATCAAGTTGTATAAATAATATATTTCCAGAATGTAAATTGAATTGCATTTTCATTATGAATTTTGAAAGTGCAAAAATTATATTCAAAAATAATAATTTGGATTCTTTCTTCTCATGTAAGTAGATTATGATTTATTTATTAGTAAATATTCTTTTAAATTTATGTACATTACGATCATTACGAGCACGTAATCTTCATTTGATTGATTTTTTGTTAATCCATAATATGGAACAATCTCTGTATATATATTACTGCTAATATAATTTGACCATAAAAAAAAAAATGTATTAGATAAAAAGTAACTCGACTATTAAGTTATTTAGATTACATAACTCTCCAAACCGATTATGAATTACTAATCTTTTAAGCATTACTTATTACCTTCCAAATTTTTTTTAATTGTCTTTCTTTAGAATCCCATTCATTAATAATCACAAATCTAATCTTGCTGAATAAATTTCCAAAAATTCACCTTTCGTTAAACAATTATTTTATAAATTATTAAATGAAATCCATTCAATTATTTTATCCGGTTCAAGTGTTAAATTATCAAGATCATCATTTTTGGATGTCCCAATTTGAAAAAATTAAAAATTATCCTTTAAATAATTTCGAATACTATAATACAGTCGGACCTCTATGTACCGATACTGTTGTTTTGGGGAAAATATATCGGTATATCAAATTATCGTTACATAACCGTCATCAGTGAATCATAATGCGGGCCAAAATCCAACTCTTGCCAGCATTATGTAAACTCCGGATAGCTAATATATTAAAATGTCATGTGATTTGGATGGAACCTTTATGTTAACTCCGGCCAAATTCATAGCTAGTATTGACCCGAATTAATACCAGTGTAACCTAAAGTATCGGTACATCTTACTATGTATTAATTATAAAGGGGCAAAGAAAAGTATCGGTACATGTTACATCGTGAAACCATATATAATATCGGTATAACGAGATTTTTTCATTAATTGTGAAACGGGACATAGAAAATTTATCGGTACAGGCAATTATCGGTACATAGGATATCGGTACATAGAGGTCTGACTGTATAACTAAACATTTTATAAATCTTTTTTATATTTCTCTTTTTACTTCAACTTTTTTTATCATTGTAAAGAAATCATCTTCAAGTGCCGTTTTTTTTTATAAATTTGAATTTCTCGTCTATATTTTCTATGAATATTATAATCAAATAATATAATCGCTCTATTAATTGCAAAAATTAATTTTTTAAAAATTGGATACATAATTTTATTTTTTTTTCCATTAAAATATTTTTATAATTATTAGTTTTAAAAAAAATAACTAAGAAATTTGAAAAGATAAAATTTTTCAGAACGGAGTTTTATTATAACTCTCTATTAAATTAATCGTGTATAAGCTTGATAGTTGTATTACGTGTCATTATAAAGATTTCTACATAATTTCGTAATTTTCAACTTTCAAAAGATGTTTGTATCGTTTGTATCGTTTGCACGTCATTACTATTTTATCATGAGATTTATGATTTATACCAATCAAATTGTACATATTTTGACTTTCGAAAAACAAGGGATTAAGTTAAACAATCCGTGATTCTGTGTATTGAAAGTATTATATTATGATTGAAGAAACAAATACGGGACATCGGAACGAGTATCTTTTGAGAGTGAAAATTTTGAAACCTGCTTCTATGTTACAATAATATAAATTTTCACAATTTGATGAAAAAAAAAAAGACTAAAAAAATTATATAATGCTAATAAATAATTGTAAAATTACCACGGATTGAATTGTGCAAATAGCAGCAACACCTCTCTGTTAAATAAAGTATCGAAAGAAACAACAACCCTACAGGAAACCACAAAAAAAAAAAATTAGAGTTTAATTGAAATATTAAAAATTTTACGTCAATTTTAATAAATTTCTTCCTATTATACAAACAATTCCCAGGAGATATTGTTTATACAATAATGATATTTGATTGTAATTTATAAATAATTAATTATTTTTTATGGCAAAATAAATAAAATATTAAAATTTGCGACAAACGTCAATGATAAGTGCGCAATCACTATTCGAATTATTTGTTTAAACTGTAATAATACAATATGTGTAGTATTGGAATGCTTTTGATTTTAAAACGTTTTTTTAAATTTAAGGACATATTTTTATCAAGAAAAATTTAATTATGGATCTTATTATCATTAACTAGTTTTGTTATATTGAAAATTTGGTTTAATTATATTTGATTATTTACAATTAAATTTTTTTAATAAATAAAAATCTTAATATTTCAACTTTCATGTTATATGTATGCTTTACCATTACCAATACGTTGGCCCATTACTATATTAAAATTCTCACTAATTGGAAAAAAAGTAAATATTTTTTTTTCCTTTTTTTTATTATTATTAAACGCCTTTATTTGTAATTAGTATAATATGGTAACAATATTATGAAAAATGCATTATGTGCAAAAGCACAACCGGAATAACAGTATATCAATTATTACAAAATCGCAGTAACTGGTTGATCATTTCGTCTTCAATAATAATTTTTTCATTTAAAATATTTAAAATACAAAAAAAAAAAAAAATATTCTCCAAATAAACACCTATTTCAGGAGAGATGAACAAAAAGTATAAAAGAAATAATTATTTGAATAAGTTAATTCATTTGATTTTGTGAATAAACTTTCGCAGTATTTAACTATTTATCAATATTTCAGGAAATAATTTTTATTTTAAGACGATCTTTCAGATAAACAAATTAAAATTTTTATTTTGATTTATTACACGAATCTTCCTTGCCTGCAAATGTTAATGAGTTGAGTTTCTTCTTAATTTCACTAAACTAAAATGTTATCTTATTGTCGAAGGATGTTTTTTGTCTTTTTTAAAAACATTTGTTAATATTTTATTATAGAAATGAATTTGTTAGTATAAGAGCCATTTACTATTTGAGCATAATTTTTACACTTTATTTGCTCTTAATTTTTTTACGTCTCATCAAGATTAGTGCAAAGGTAATATGGAAGATATGATTATTATGATCTCAATTCAAAAAATACGTCTGTCGATACAAAATTAAATAAAATATTGTAAAATAAAAAGCATAAATAGATCTTCTTTTTGTTTTAAATTTACCCAATTTAAAATTGTATAATAACATTTTCAAAATTATTTTATTATTTTTGAAAAAAAATTACAATGATGTACAATTGTACATATACATTAGTGAAAAAATAATACTGAAAATGCGAAGTAAAATTATTTTTACTTGAACTTCACAAAACGTAAAAGCATTGGTCCTTTACTCCTCATGTAACCATCATTTCCCCATTTCGGGTTAGATTTATTTTCTTTCTTTTTATGGTGATCATACCGTTCATACGAATTTTCTTTGTCACAAAAATAGTAATGTTTGTGTTTGTATAAAATAGTTGTACAAATGCTGTAAATAGTAATACAAAGGTAATACAAATAAAGGTGCGCAATATATTGAATTTCGTTCATAATTTTTTTTTCTTTTACTTTTAATAATTCTGAAATTTATTAGTTATTTATTTATATAACTAAAATTAAAATTATAATCCACAACTAAAATTAATTAATATGAATGAAAAGCCAAAAGATTTATGGGAGTATGATAGTAAATATCAGGTTAATAGCAATTTAATATTTTTAATAATTATAATTACTATTTATTGAATTTTTGTAGTTAAAAATATTAATAATTTTTTGTCTATTAAAAGAAACGTGTTACAATTTCTACTATTGATTCAACTATTGAATTAGAAAATGTATTTGAAAGAATAGTTTATATAGAAGATTTAGAAAAAAGAAGACAAGCATATGGAATATGTGGAGAATGTAAAGAACCTGGCACGGGAGAATATTGGTGTCAATCTTGTAATGCTAAAAGATTTAAGGATAATTTTAAAAATTGGACTAGTGGAAATAAAGATATTGATGAATTTATACAACAATCACAACTTAATGCTGTACATTATAAAACATGTCTTGAATGGTTACCTTTTGAAAAATTTCAAAATGTCACTTATATTGCAGAAGGTGGTTTTGGTAAGATTTATTCAGCAGAATGGCCTGAAGGAAATATTGGATATTGGGATATTGAAAATCAAAAGTGGTATAGATACAAGTTTAATAAATATGCATTGAAAAGTTTGAATAATTCTTTCAATATATGTTCAGATTTTTTTAATGAGGTAATTTAAACTTACTCTGTCTTATATGTAAAGATTGTTATTTGCATTTATTTATTAATAAATTTTTTTTTTTTTTTGATGATAATTAGATTAAATCTCATCTTCAGATTTATCTTACTGACATTGTTCAATGTTTTGGAATTACTCAAGATCCAAATAATAAAGAGTATATGATGGTTTTATATTATTGTGAAATTGGAAATCTGAGAAATTATTTAAATAAATCTATAAATTATATCAATTATCAATCAAAAATTGATAAATTACAACAAATTGCAAGAGGACTTTTAGATATTCATAATGCTGAAAAAGTTCACAAAGATTTTCATTCAGGCAATATATTATATGGTTCTGGTGGTTATCCATTTATAAGTGATTTAGGTATGTGTCAACCAGCAAATATAAAGCAATTAGTTAAAAAAGAAGGAATTTATGGAGTATTACCATATATGGCACCAGAAGTTTTACGCGGATACCAATATACAAAAGCAGCAGATATTTACTCATTTGGAATAATAATGAATGAATTTCTTTCTGAAGAAATTCCTTTTAATGATATTCCTCATGATTGTTTTTTAGCTATTAAAGTATGTAAAGGACTTAGACCAACAATTTCTAATGATGTTCCAAAGTTACTTACAGATTTGATAGTAAAATGTTGGGATGCTGAAATAGAAAAGAGACTAACCACTAAAGAATTGTATCAGATATTAACAAAATGGAATAATAAAATCAAAGATATTAAAAATAGTGAAGATAGTAAAGATAGTGAAGATAGTGAAGATGTTAAAGATAGTGAAAATGGTGACAATAGTCAAAATAGTGAAATATATTTTCAAATAAAAGAATGTGATAAAATTAGAAAAGAAAAATTCAAAAACAGGCCAAATGAAGATAAATCCAAAAGCTTCCAAACACACCCACAAGCATTTTATACAAGTAGACTTTTAAATTTCAAAAATCTTCCAAAACCAGTAAATTCTTCAGACTTATTATCTTTTCAATTCAGTTCAGGTAAATAAGTTTAATTTTTTATCATATAATCCATTTTACATTATTTATATTATTTTATTTTTATTAGATGCTAATTATACTGCTCAATCAACATCAGAAAATCCAAGTAAGTATTCTTTTAATTATCATTATTGTAATTATTTTATTTACATTTGTTAACATTTAAATACTATGAATACATAATATACAGTTTCAGAATGCTTAGATTGTTCAATTAAGTGAATTGAGTAAGTTATTATTTATTTGTAATTTTACTAATATTTCCTTTTTAATTTATCTAATCTATTTTTTTTTTAATAGTACTAAATGAAATTTGTCAAGATAGTGAATATAATATTGAATGAAGTTTTCTTTTATGTGAAAGTTAGAGTCAAATAGTTTAAATTACTAGTTTGTGTATTGAAGTTACTGTAGTTTTACTTTTATTTTTCTTTCATTATGCTTTATAAATTATTATTTTTAGTTTTATTATTCATGTAAAATATTATAGTATATATACAGTAGATTTATTGGATTTTATATTTATGAATATTCTATCTATATAAACAAAGATTTTAAATTTTTTTCATGCTTATTTGATAATTATTATTTGATTGTTAAATGTAAAACTGTAATATATTTGCAACTGTCAATACTTAAAAATCATATTAATTATTGTGCATAACAAATGCTTTTGATAGTTTTTTTAGGCTGTGCTCCATTTTCAATCTTACTTTAAATAACATAACTATCTATCTTAATAATCAAGTAATATATAAATTTCACATTTCATATGGTTTTTTAGGGTTGGATCGGTCCTAGCAAAGACCAGTCCTGCGTCGGTCTTGGGACCGGTCTTCGGTCCGAAATCTGAGGACCGGTCTGGACCGGAGATCGATCCATATTATTAATATCCAATAAAAATGACTCATTAAAATAATTAAAAAACGTGCGAAACCATTTTTGTTTTATTAAATTGCTTAATAAAAAACGTTTCCCCAACGTTTTTTATTGTTAAATTGCATGTTAAAAACGTTTCGCAACGCTCTTTGACTGTTTTAATAAAAAACGTTGTGAAACGTTTTTTCATTTGTTAAATTACATATTAAAAAACGTTCCACAACGTTCTTTAACTGCTTTAATAAAAAAACGTTGTGAAACATTTTTTTATTTGTTAAATTACAAGTTAAAAAACGTTTCGCAACGTTCTATAACTGTTTTAATAAAAAATGTTGTGTAATTTAGAGGCTTGAAATCATAGGGACAAATTTCTTAAATTTAAATCGGTCCGGTTCCGGTCCAGTCCAGTCCAGGTTGAAAGACCGGTCTTTTTGGGACCAGACCAGACCAGACCGGATTAATCCAACCCTATGGTTTTTATAAGTTTATTTATTTTTCCACTCGTTTAAATATTTAATAACTTTCCTTTTTATACTAAGATATGTCAGAATTATTTGATCAATAATTACATTTAAATTTAAAATAAGATATTTAAAAATAGGACATTAGACTGGTTTGGATAATAAACTTAAATGATAAAAATGTCAATAAAGAAAAAATCTTATAATGTCTCACTAACATATTTACAAGTCCATTACCTAACAAATTCAAAAATTCGAAAAATCAATTTTTCGAAATTTTGGCACTTTTCATCCAAACGGTACACCGTAGTAAATCTTTTCTTTAAAAAAAGTACTTCATTAATAATCAATAAATTGAATAAAAAAAAATATAAACTAAATTAGTCAATTTATTTGTTTATATAAAATCTAAAGCCATATGTAGCAAGAAAGTTTTTCATTAAGAATTTTCATTACTTTCATTACCTGTACTGTATCTTTAATTTTTTTTTTTTAAAAAAAAAATAAATCAATGGCATCCCGAAAGAATTGTACATCATAATATTTATAAATTAAATTGTGTAGCGCTTTTTTTTTGAGTTTTTGGAATAAGGTTAAATAGCTAATATCATGGAAATATTTTATTTCTACAAACTAATAAGTGACAATAATTTTAATTTATCATTTTTAATAATTTGTTTTTGAATTAGTTTTAACGAAGATTGTTTAATAAAATTAGTGTCAATATTAACAACACAATATTAGCCAAGTCTGCTGATTATGTTTAATATACTTCTTTTATATAATATTCATACTTATTAATATTAACTGTAAAAAATTTATATCATGCTGTTATTATAATGTTTTCAAACTTTGTAAAACATCCTTATGAAATTAAACAAATATTATTTATAATTTATTATATTTCATACTCATTTAAATAATTTAGTTACATACAATCTTTATTTAATAACTAGGGATTGTCATGTATGGGAAAAACTTTGTCCCCATTTGTTTTTTTATGTTAGATATTAATAATGAAATTATTCTATAAAAATTATGAATTAGCATTAAATTAAAGCAGATTTTATTTTTATTTAGGTCACAGTACAAATTACCAGGAAACTATAACTAGAACCAAAAGTAATTCTAACGACTATATGAACCAAACCGTCTACTACGTGACGATACCACCTTTGGTTGATGAAACCTGAGAACCAATAGCGGGCTATTCCAGCGGGATAGAGAACCTGAACATTAAATTAAAGCAGTGTAATGCCAGAATTTACCTAGTGAATTTATTAAGTGTAAGGCGCAGTAACATATTTAGTTTAGGTGTATAAATTTTATATTTGATATTATGACGTGTATGACTCGACTCCCGGATCACGAGTATAAACTTGACTATGTAGTGTTTAGTATTACATAATTCTTGTGTTCGTATTTATTTTTAGATTTGGGTATGGGAATTATATTCAAAATATTACTAAATAGGGAAGCAGGTTGAAGATCAGAAACGAAGGAATATTTATTTTTACAAGAAAAGTTGTCAGAATAAGATTTCTGACGGGAAAAGTGGGTAGAAGAGCAAGGTTCTTTTATTATTGTTGTTATAACTTCGTTATTCATTAAATAAATAGTTTAACTTTTTTCGATAATATAAAATTTTTGATTTCCTACAAATATAATACTAATTTAATGAATTTATAATAAATAAGTCGCAACACTGTCGTAACGATGGTTACTTCCATTTTATTTACTTTATATCATTGAAGAGTTAATTTTATTACGTCCTTTTAATAATCCTTTATACAGTAATTGAACACAATTTAACGAACAAATCATATCCACTCTGTACAAATATAAAAATTTTAGTCATTAATTGGACAAAAATATTTCAGTTTTCTGTCAATTTATCATGTGCATTTTAGCCCTAATGAAACCATCATAATGCTGGCTGAAATTACATTCAATTACGTGATATTATTGTGAACGATCGTATGTGCAAACAGTTTTACTGGTACACGTCTGATCAGGTTACAATAAAGAAAGTGAGAAAACCAAAAGAAAGTAGCAATAAATTTTGCATAATTTAATTCAAAGAAAAATTGTAAAAATTAATTCTTTTTCAAAAATTAATTTTACTATACGTGTAAAACATACTAATTAGCTAAAGTTATAATTGAATTTATTATGCTACTGTATATTTGTTGTGTATTATACAAAAATACCTAAATCCAAATTTATATAATGTAAACGATTTTATTTAAATGTCAATAAAATTAAATTTAAAATACACAAATAATATAAAACCATAATTTATATAACATAAAAGAATTATTTAAATTACAAACTAAGGATTTCTTTTACTCTTAGTAGTTTAAATAATACACTTTCTAAATAAAATAAATATTAATATTGCTTTTGATCTAATTTTAAAATAATTTAAAATCCCTCTAAAGAAAAAACAGATGCATTAGTTAATAAAAAAAAAGTACCACTAGCTATTATAAACATTATTTATAAAATAAAACAAACCATTAAGATTCGAATTCTTCTTGTTCTTCTGAATGAAGACTTGGATTATTATATCATCATCTATAAAACACAAATAATAGATACTAATTTCTTATTATCTAAAAATATTTAATAAATAGAAAACGAATATCATCAGTTTGTGACGTCAACATTTATAACCATGTGATCCCGATCCGGTCATTCCAAAAACAAAGATCGTTCGCCAAATCACACCACCACACAAATTACTCTAATTCACGTCACCTATCTTTAGAAGAAATTCTGGCATCCAAGAAATTTTATAGTATAAGCTTCGTAATTATTTTTTTTGTCATTTTTATCGAAAAAAATCCCTAGAAATACAAAATCATAACGATTTTCTATTTTTCTTTCAATTTCTGATCGATCGTTGATTATGGATTTTTCGAGAAACAGTCTACTTTTATACGTGTAACTTATCTGTAACTTTGTTTATCCAATAAAAGATTAGTTATATCACACATTTAAAGGCAAATTTTACGATTTAGTATGTTATAAACAATTAAAACACATAATTATAAATGCTTGCTCTTGGCCAGATATAGTTAACCTATAAACTGTTTCTCCTGAACACCACGTAGAGGTGACAAGCTTCGTTCAGGCTTACCTGCTACAACCAGTTTATAATTTAAGGGCAGTGACATATAATAGCCAATAAAATTTATAAAGAAAATGATTGGTTGCAATATCTTACCTGAAAGTGTAAAATAATATTAGCTAATATATGTCACTGCCCTTAATGGATGATAAGCTACAAAATATTAAATAATAAAATAATGGTTTATTAAGAAAAAATTGAGTAGAGACTTTCTGATCTGTGCCTTTTCTGTTACGTATTATACCCTCTAAATCCTTTACCTATGCAACATGACAATAAAATGAGAAAGAAATTATTCTTAAAATAAACTTTCCCATTTTACCCATATAATCATATATAAATATTTTGAACTATGGGACTAAGGACCAAGGTTTAAACACAGGTTTCTCTACCCAATTTCAAATTTTATATTCGTTCAAGTATGCTTTAATATGTAGAATACGTGGAGAGTTGGTTGTACCTTACCTTTGCCATACTTGACGAAATACAATAGGAGAAAAAAGAGGGAAAAAAGAAAGGGTAAATTTTTTTTTTTTTTGCTTCATGAGGTATTTAAATATTAAAAAATAACTATGATACTCATTGACTCATTGATTATTAGTCAGAATATTAAAATGTGCTGTCTCATTCCTTGATCATTAAAATTACAGTAGATTCATATAAATTATCAGTCGCGTTAAACAATATTTGTCACGTTATTTATTATGCAATGGCGTAATTTTGTCACTTTTATGTTAATAATACACAAACTATAGCTAACAAAGGATGCAAATTAATGATAAATGCTTATTAATTCCTAGAACTGATGAGAGTAGTTTTAACAAAGTAAGAATGTGAAAATTTATGGTCTCGGTGAATCAGATTATAAAGCATGATTGTAATGTTTAAAAGTACTCCAAATTTTATATTATATGATAAAAATCTAATGGGTTTGAAAATATTATCTATGATTTACAACTAGAAATATTATGTAAAAAATTACTTTGTCAAGCAAATAGTAATAAGGTGATGAAAAAATTATTTAATATACAAATAAGACAATTGCTTGGATCGCAGTTTATATTGAAGATAATGGTAAAATTATAAAATTATAACGAAAAATAAACTAGTTTTATTGGAGATACGATCAATTTATGAGACAGAAAACATTAAGTTATGTGATCATGACTCGTTAAATTTAAAAAGGCACCATAAAATACAAGGAGGTTTGACGGAAATTAGAAGTATTTTAAATGATAAAGAATTATGAAAGCGACGAATTTATTAAAAAATAAAGGAATATTATTTTTGGAACAGCTATTAGAAGCCAATAGAATGAAGCTTATGAAATGGAAACATATTTGCGTAGAAAATGAATGTAATTCTTCAGGGGTACAACCAAAATGGTATTTATTATGGGTGATAATAATTTTAAAAAGAGAGAGAAAGAACAAAAGTAATAGAATATAGATTTTTAATGAAGATGTTAAAATTAATAAAAATGAGATTATAACGTGGAATGAGAATTATAATACATTGGGGGTCTTCACAAAAAACTTGATTGAGATTGAGATTGAGATTTCATATAGAATTTTCAATCTTAATATGTTAGTATGATTGAAATTCCATATTAAATTTCAATCTCAATCTCAATCACGTTTTTTGCGAAGACCCCCATTATTTTGTATCGATAAGAAAAAGCCAAGGAGCAAATATAGGATTACATATGATACCAAATAGTATTAATAATTCACCAAATGTAAGGGATGTGAAAGAAGTATTAAAATCAATGAAGATAGTAGTAGTGAAAGAGTGTTGGATATATATTGAAAATAAAAAGAGTAGAGCAATCAAATCTAGAAAGGAAAAACTAAACGACAATATGATTAAACCATACGAAACATATAATAGTCGTTAAAAACAGAAGTGGGTGTAAATATAATTTTAAAGATTTCAATAGAACTAATGAACTTAAATTCAGAAATTGAGAATGATAGTTCAAACGGATGATTATGACAATAATAGACCCATTTTACACACTATCATATTAATATTATTAATAATCTCTTCGAATAGTAATGTAACGATTGACAATGAACTTTATAAATGAGAGAAATATATGATGTCTTAATAATAAATGCATGATTGAGTTATCTTTTATTGAAGAGTGGTTAAATAAGTACAAAATAATATTATTGAGGTAGAAAAACATATTTTGCCTACGTAAAGAAATATAAGAAGGATTAAGATGATATTAAAAAAATCAATGTTCACTTATAATTCAAATAATGATTTGATCATCTTACTGTATATATACGAATTTGTCTTATATACTGTAGTACGTTTTGTTACTCAAAACATTTATTATTTTTTCTTATTTTCTTGTAAATGACAAGTATCTACTTACAGTAACATGGTTTGATGCTAAAATTAATAATTCTGAAGAGTGAGAAAAAAAATTTTTTATTCAATTAATATTACCTATAAATCAGAGGAATCTAATTTAATTAGAAAGTTGGTTATTTTTTATTGGATTAATTCATGTATAGCTTTACGACAAAGTGAATAAAATTCAATAATAAATTTTGATACATTTATTTTTAAAAAATTCAAAAAGAATTATTTTCTTTCAAGTTCATCTAATGAAACAAAATTTCTTGCAATTATCATCATTTTTGCAATTTTAAGAAGAAAACAATATAATTGAACTTGTTTTATTCATTTATTTGATGAATATTTCCATCGTACTTTGGAAGTTTCATTTTTTCTTCAAAAAAGTTATCAGTTATACTATGTTTGTCACGTGAAGGTAAAATAACACAAATGGCGAAATGGCGCAGTAATTTATTAATCATCAAAATTAATAGAAAATGTATGTAAATAATTATATTATTTTAAATATGACGTCATGTATATAATGACGTGAGAATATTTCATTTATTTCATTATAGTCAATCATATTTCATTATAGTCAATCATGACTTCACGATTTAAGTTATATATAATTAAGATACATAAAATAGTTACCTTTTCTCTTTATTCTCTTTAACCACCCTACTTTTTCTCACTTTTTTTCTTTATTTTTTTTTTGTTAAGTATGGTAAAGGTAAGGTACAACCAACTACGCATCACTTTTTAAAACCGACCAACTCCACGTTGAAAAAACTGAAAAAATCGTTAAAAGTTAAAAACCATACTTAAACAAATTTTTAATGAAATTTGAGTAGGGAAACCTGTGTTTATTGCTCGATCTTCTTTTCCACATTACGTATATATACGTACGTATTTTATGTATGTATGTACATAGTACGACTAGTACGTATTGTGTACAGTATATATGTAAATCAAATAATTAGATGGGGAAATGAGAAAGCTTATTTTTGATTTTACAAAAATAATTTCTTTCTTGTTCTGGTGCGCACGTGCATGTGTGTTATTTGTTTTAAATTTTACATAAACAATTTTCTTTATAATTTTCTTTCTTGTCTTGATGCACATAAGCAGTAGTATCTGGGGCCAGAACATAACTAAAAAAACACAGTTTATATATAGGTATCAAATAAAAGGGTCGTGTTATGTTATTATATATCTATATGTCCGAACTTCTCTGCTCAAATTTTTGTTCTTAACAACCCAAATAATATTTTATTTTTTTTAACCCTATTAATTATAAACTGGTTGTAAGCTTTAAGGTAAGTGGTTTTTTTTATCTGAACGAAGCTTGTCACCTCTACATGGTGTTCAGGAGAAACAGTTGTAGGTTAATTTACCATACATCTGGCCAAGAACAAGCATCATTTTATTTTACATATTTTTAGATTTTTTTGCGCCATTTTGTATTGAAATCACGTAAAAATATTTATTAATATTTATTCATAAGCTGTGTATAACATATCGTGAAAATCGAAGGAGTTATAAATCATTTTAAAAAAAATGTTAAAATTCACCTTCAATTATTGAAGTAACAGAAAAAAAAAACTACTTTCACTTTTGAGCTGGATCCTAAGGATCATAATGTTATAACTTGTAACTCTCTTTTTAAATAAAATAAAAATAATAATATTGAAAAAGTTTAAGAATATTTAGAATTTCAATGAAGAAAATTTAATTTGCAACATTATTTATTATAATTTATAATAAGAAATCAATTGTTCAGTCTCTATATATTTAAGGTTTTATAAAATAAAATTCTAATATTCCATATAATTTGTAATTCTAAATTCCCTAATAATACTCATTTTCTTATAATTTTCAATCATTATTTTTCATACTTAATATTGTTATTAGCAATAACTAGCGAAAGTGATTTTTGTGGTATACGATCTTTCCAGTTTATAAAAATTCCTCTTAATTCTTCACAAATCTTTTCAAATTATAAAATACCTTCAAGACAACCCAATCTATAAATAAATCATAATAATATTGAATTTAATCTAAAGAAGGTTTTAAGATTAGAATATCTCTCAACATTATATTGAAATTTAATGATTTCTAAATATTGAAAGCTATTTAGGATTAATTTTAAGTTTTTCATCCTATGGATAAGATTTTAAGGTCTAAACAACATTTAGCTATTTGCCAAATTCAATGTATTATCAAGATTTTCAGGTATATATAAATCTATCAAATTTGTTCCATTAATTTCCAAGAATCTTAATGAAAATTTCAACTTTTGGAATGAACGTAAAAATTTTAAAGTTTTCAATTGTGAAAATAAACTATTGTAATTGATTAAAATCATGAAATGGGTAACTGTAATTAAAAAAAAATTCAAATACTTGTAAATTTTTAAACTTAGTTATAAATGACAAAGGTATATAACATTTATTTAATATTAATTCGGTTAATGTTAAAAAAAAAATTTTAAATGATGAGGGGAATATGTCTTTTACATTATCAACATTTACGTAACAAAGAGATTCAAAAATTATACGTTTTAAATTATTTTGTGAAGAAATTAATTATTTCAATCCATCTGAAGTAGGAAGAACTAATTTCATATTTAATGATTGAATATTATAACATTCTTGAGATAAAAAAATTCTGAACAAATATTTGAACGACACCATAATTCTGTAAGATTTGTTAAACAGATTTTCGATCCAAGTGAATAAATAGATTCAAAATAATTTTCGATATAATAATAATCCAAAGTTTTCAATGATGAAACTTGATTCATAAGCTTTTTTAATATTTCTTGTAATATGCAATTATGCACTCGCGCATTCGAGCACAATGACGAGAAGTGAATCTTTTGTATCAAAAGGAAATTTCGAATCATTCGTTAGATTCCACGGATTGTAATAAATTTGATAGGATAATTAAACAATGGAAGTTTTTAAGAGATGAGTAAGATTGATAACAAATTCTTGAGAAAAATCTTGAGAATTCCGAACATTTCTTCACAAAATTCTGACAGCAATTTTACAGAATTGACGATTAACTAATAAACATATTTTTATCTTCTAAATATTCAAATATACAATTAAGACAATCAGCAATAAGATGACGAGGCATTTTTTTTTTCAAAAAAGAAATGAAAGATAAGTATTTCTGCATTACAAGTTTACGTTTATATATAGAAGGGGTAAACTATTTTGCCGTGATTAAACTTCTTTTGGAAATCATTTTTCCCATACAAAAAAATTTTTACAAGCTCAACTGAATTATATTTGAGTTATAGAATACATGGCCGCAGAAACACTAGTGAACCGATTTTCGTTAATTCTTTATAGAATTAGTTAATTACTTTTATTTTATTATTTTTATTGTATTATATTATTTTACTATTTTATATTATATTGTTTTAGTAGATAGTTGATTTATTTTTATATAAGTTTGTTTCATAATTAACGAGAGTTCATGTTTAAAGAGGAGTTAGGATTATAAAATGTAAAATATATGAAATGTTATTTATTTTGAACCATGACATTCAAATTTACAATAAATATCTTTTAACTGCTTACGGACCGTTCCCAATAGGACATTTTCTGACAGCCTAACGCTGGCCGTTTTATCACGTGTTTATGTATAACTCTTTATAACTCTGGTCAAACTTGTCTTGTTGGGAAACAATCAATCGGAAAATCGTGCCGTAACCTTTTAACCATAATTGGCTTTTAAAATTATGCAAATTTTTTAGTATCTTAATTTTATTTTACTCTTAGAATTGTATTTTTCTATGTAGCAGTAAAATTTAATATTAATTTAAATAAACTCGTCAGGAGATATTTTTATGTAAATTATATAAAAAATTCTACATAAAATTTGCATACACTTATTCTATATAATTTTAAGGACCCAACATCGATTTTATGTGTAGATTTGTAAAGTATTAGTTGTATATTATACAAAATACCTAAATCCAAATTTATATAATACAAACGATTTTATTTGAATGTCAATAAAAATCAAATTTAAAATATATAAATAATATAAAACATAGTACTTCAATGGCATTAGCAACAAAAATTGCCACACATCAGAATCCTCTAGTTGATAATCTTTGAGTTAATAATTTATATAGCATAAGAAAATTATTTAAATTACAAACTAAGAATTTCTTTTACTCTTAGTGTTTAAATAATTCAAATTTCAAAATAAAATAAATATTAATATTGCCTTTAATCTAATTTATAAATCCCTCTAAAGAAAAACAAGTGTATTAGTAAATAAGAAAGTACTACTATTATAAACATTATGTACAATATTTGTAAAAATAAAACAAACCATTAAAAATTTCAAATTCCTCTTGTTCTTCTTAATGAAGATTTGGATTATTATATTCATCATCATCTATGAAGTCCAAAATGTTAATAAAGATATATATATTGTTTAAGTTTTTTTTTTTTGAGAATTTGGAATCAAACAATTTATTGATGTATAAGTATTGACCAATGCATAAGATTCTCATTAAAA